ATTTAGTACAGTACAGTTTCAACAGTGGTAGATCTAAGCGGTAGCTTTTGCTGTCGCACGGATGGGCCAGCTCGAACCGGGGTGGTACCACGACTTCACAGTATACCAGCGTGAAGTAGAAGTTTACCTCTGCGTTGCGCTTGGTGAGTGCAGGTGGCCGGAGGCCCAATCCCCCCCTCCCCCCATCAACATGGTAGCGGAATTACACGTTAGTTAGTTACTACCCAAGAGGGTACCAGTACCCCTGGAGAATCCCTCGCTGAGCATCCACGACCATGTTATTCCACTCCTGAGCGTGGGTGCTCAGGTTGCCCTACGTATTCTGCGAGGGGGGCAAAATTCCGCTCCCCCCATCAACATGGTAGTGGAATTAAATAAAAGACTACCCCAGGAGGGTACCAGCACCCCTGGAGAATCCCTCGCTGAGCATCCACGACCAAACTACTTCACTCCTGAACGTGAGCACCCGCTCAGGCTGCCCCGCGTATTCTGGGGGTGGGGGGGGCGAAATTCCGCTCGCGACTAATGCTGCTCGGGGCAATCGGAGCAATACAACCAAAGCGACCCCTGTTACGCTATCCGTGAATTTTTGCAACATCAGGGGACTTCATTCCCACCTTAACGCTGTCTATTACCATCTAGAGACGGCGAAGCCGGCCTTGCTCTTTTTAACCGAAACTCAGGTGTCCTCTCCGGCTGATACTTCATATCTCTCCTACCCGGGGTACAAATTGGAACACTCCTTTGTGCCCCGGGCTGAAGTTTGCGTATACGTCAGAGAGGACATCTGTTTCATCAGACTCCGTGCTACAACAGGTCCCATCCGCAGAGATCGTGATACTCGGTGATTTTAACGCCCACCACGCTGAATGGCTTGGTTCTCGTTTAACTGATCATGCGGGTAGATCTGTCTATGACTTTGCTTTGGCATATGGTCTAACACAACTGGTTACTTCGCCTACGTGGATCCCAGATGTGGAAGACCATGTACCTTCCCTGTTGGACCTTCTGCTGACCTCTCATCCGGACGGATATCAGGTCTCCGTCGATGCCCCTCTGGGCTCTTCGGACCATTGTCTCGGAGTACGGTGCCACTCATGCTCCAATCGCAGTTGCGATCTGCAGCTTGCCGCCGTGTTTGGCACTATAGGTCAGCTGATTGGGATGGGATGCGGTCTTTTTTTGCATCCTACCCTTGGGGGCGGGTTTGATTCTCGCCGGAAGATCCCAGCGTTGTTGCCGATACTGTTGCTGAAGTGGTACTTCAGGATATGGAACTTTTTATTCCATCCTCTGTGGTGCCCATCGGAGGAAGATCCCAGCCATGGTTTGTTCGCTCCTGTAAAATAGCATCACGCAATAAGCAGGAGTGCTACCGGGCCTGGGCTGACGCATCAACGTCTCGGCATGTAAACACCAACGAGCTCATAAAGAAGTACAATTCCGCCTCCAGGTCCTTCAAAAGCGTCATTGCCAAGGCAAGGTCTGAGCACATCGGCAGAATTGGCGAAAAGCTAGTTCGCCTTCCTTCGGGAACCCGTGCATTCTCGTCTCTCGCCAAGGCTGTCCAAGGGAACTTCTGTCAGCCATCTCTTCCATCTCTGCACAGAGAGGACGACTCACTGGCCCATGCCGCAAAGGAGAAAGCGGATCTGTTGAGCTCTCCTTTTGCGTCCAACTCGACTCTAGATGACGGGGGGAACACACCGCCGATTATCCCGCGATGTGAGTGCTCCATGCCGGATGTGCGGTTTACACAGCGCTCGGTTCGCAAAGCACTCTTCTCCCTGGACGTCAGCAAGTCGAGTGGGCCCGATGGAGTCCCTCCCATTGTGCTGAAGCCGTGTGCTCCGGAGTTGGCACCGGTTTTAACGCGTCTTTTCCGGTACTTCTACTCCCAAGGCGTAATCCCGAATTCATGGAAGACAGCTTTGGTCCACCCGATCCCTAAAAAAGGCGACCGCTCAGACCCGTCCAACTACAGGCCTATTGCCATCACCTCCTTGTTCTCCAAAATAATGGAATCCATTATAAACTGAGCTCATGAGGTACTTTGAGGATCACCAGCTCATTAGTGACTGCCAGTACGGTTTTCGTCGAGGTCGATCAACTGGTGATGTTCTAGTCTATCTGACTCATAGATGGGCGGAGGCAGTAGAGTCCAAAGGCATTGGCCGTTAATTTGGACATAGGGAAGGCCTTCGATCGGGTCTGGCACAAAGCGCTTCTTTCGAAGCTTCCTTCCTATGGGCTCCCCGAGAAATTGTGCAAATGGATCACCAGTTTCCTTGCTGATCGGAGCATCAAGTTCGTAGTAGACGGTGCATGCTCTGATTTCAAGCCTATCAACGCTGGTGTTCCACAAGGCTGCGTGTTGTCACCAACGCTGTTTCTCCTGCATATCAATGATATGTTGCTAACTGGTAGCATTAATTGCTATGCAGACGACAGCACTGGGGATGCCTTATATGCCGGCCGTGCCAATATTTCTCAGGAAAACGTCGCTGAGTACCGGGACAAACTTATGTCTGAAGTCGAGTCTTTGCTTAACAAAGTCTCGGATTGGGGCCGAATAAATCTAGTCCAGTTCAATCCCCATAAGACACAAGTTTGCGCGTTTACCGCTTAAAAGAACCCCTTTGTCGAATCTCCTCAGTTTCAAGGTACTCCCCTTGCTGCCTCAGCTAGTATCGGAATCCTTGGCGTCGACATATCGAATAGTGTGCAGTTTCGTGGTCACTTGGAAGGGAAGGCCAAATTGGCCTCTAAAAAGCTTGGCGTGCTCAGCAGAGCGAGACAGTATTTCATGCCGGCACTTCGCTTGCAACTTTACAAAGCGCAAGTTTTATATTTTATATTTTTTACATTTTATATTTTCTAAAAGACAGTGACATATCAATGATTATTCAAAACGTAAAGAAAATCACGAATCCTTGATTTAATTTAAGAAATTTGAAATGGCGAATGTTTGTGATTATTAATTCTAAATTTACACTAATTTTGAAGTTCATCATCACTCAATATTTTTAATATTAGAAAGGCCTCCCTCATAAAATTCCCTGTATCATAATGACTGAAAGCATGACTGACGGGATGAAAATCGCATTTTTTTTTTCATTTAGTATTTAACTTTAATTTTTCAGTAATCAATCACCTTTTAAAGAAAGTATATAAATTATATAGACTAAAATATTGTTACGACAGCCACTTGCGTATTGCATCACATGGCACGAAAAAGTTCCCGACGATAAGAATCAATGGCATCTGTCAAGTAATAAAACTTTTAGGCATAAAAATAGATAACCCTTAAATTACCGATACAAGCTGAAACCTTATACCTACGTTAATAAAGCCTTTACTTCTTCGGATATTGTAATCGTTAAGTAATCGCGAGTGTTCTAGTACTTTCCGGTTGAAAGTGTGGAAGGACCTGGATTGGCCAAGAAACTTCAATATTCCTTTTATAGAGTACTAACTGTGCCCCGTTTCGCCCGCGTGTAATTTAGGCTTTTAATTCTTTTTTGGGCGGAACCCTAATTCTCTCTCTTAAATAAAAGTACCCTTTAACATCAGCTGTCTGTCAGTGGAAGTCCCATCAAAATCGGTTCAGTATTTTCGGACATAACCGGAACAAACAGACAGATAGATAAAAATTCACACACACACATACAATCGAATTCTAAATATAAATTTTATGCAAATAAAGAATTTGTATTTGTATTTAAATGTAGCATTTTATATATACAATAAAATACGTTAGAACATTTATAATAATAATAAATATTGTATTTTTTTTATCTTAAAACTAAAACAATATTACATGCAGCGAACCATAATTGCAAATTGCTTGCCATTATAATATTATGATCAGATCACGATTCCTGTTGCAAATGAAATTAATAACAAAATAGTAAAAAGTTATTATTATAATACCGTTAAATGTATAAAAACAAAGTATTTGTCATTATTTTACGTTAAAGTAAAAAAAGTAATAGAAATTGAAATATTAGACTTGTATATATATATTGTTTACGTATACATAAAGTGAACGGTGCACTGAATATTTAAGATCTGGCATTTTTGGAAATAGTTATAAATCCGTATATCGGATACCAACTAAATAAGAACCTTAGTCGATTTTACGTGTCTGAAAAAATCTAAAGAAAGAGCAAAAGCGTCAAAACTGGAGCCGATCGAAACAATCGATATTATTAAAGAATAGTTTTCATATTTTCGACTACACTATATATTTCTTCTTCCTTTTTAATGTAATATAATAAAATGGAATATTTTTATTCTATATACATTGTTACGTAATATTTTAGAATAAGAAAGTCAATTATTTATATTTCGGTTCGAAAATTTTATTTGTCTTGGGAAGAACCAGCAAAGATCCCGGCGGGATTTTTTTAATCATAAGATTTTACGACAATAGTCAATAATTAAATCAATTATAAAATAACTAGCATTATAGCGATTACAACTTGCCAGATCTAGATAAAATCTACATTTTGATTCTCAAACGAGGATAAATGTAGATGTCTATTGACCACAGCGTCCACTTACCGGCAACGACGATCAAGTAATCTATACTTGATCGTTCATCACTCTTATCTAATACATAAAAATCAATTTTTGTTTGTTCTTATTTTATGCGCTGCCATACCGTTCATCAGATGCGGTAAAACTATGAAGTTATATGTGACAAGCCATATGTTGATAACAACATGTGGCTTGCACTTTCACGAAGGTTATAGGCATAGTAAAATTAACTTACAGTAGTTGGCATGCAGTACCGACAAATTTATTTGAAATTAATATTTTATTCAATTTCAAAAAATGTATTATAATTCCTAATTAAACAATATAGGTTAGTATTCCAAATTTGAAACCATATTTCCACAGTTTATTTTTTCTGCAGCAGCAACGCTCAGGGTACCAGCTAGTGTAGTATAAAAAAAAACATGAAAACTTGGTTTCTATATTTTATCCTCCCTTACCTGGAAGTACTAATTCACCGTTAATCGTACTTATTACTGTCTCTTCCGGAATAGTAATTCTGTCAGTTTGTTCAGTGTATTCATTTATTCTTTTATAGACCGTTGTCGTACCACTGTCATATACAAAAATGTATGCTAAAGTACCAGGGTACCATTGATTTTCTTCATTCTTTGAGTAATATCCTGGAACAACAAGAAAATAACATAAATAAATGACACTTACGTTTTTGTTGGAGCACCTACTTTATCGAGACTAAGAGAAGGAAAGTGTAACCAAAAGAAATTTTTATACGTGGTAGAGCCATTTTGCAGCTATATTATTGTTGTATCACGAATGGGTCATCTCATCCAGGGAAAGACCACGCTCTTACTAAATACCAGCGTAAAACTGCTGTTTTTCGGAAGGTGAGTATAAAAAAACAGAAATCGTTTTACTGGTAATGAAGCATTCCATCTTATTCCTCAGAGGTGTCAACGCATCTTCATTTTAATTCTTAATCAAGGATAGATGTAGATGTTTATGTGCCTCCGCAGAATCTACTTCACCTGAGGATAACTCGTGTAGAAGCGAAACACGTGTCGTGTTTTCGAGAGTGGTGTGCCGTGCCTGGTGGTGCTGGGGATGGTAGTGCTGGGATTGAAGGCGACAGTTACAATGCGCGCGATTGAGAGAGGGTGGTAGGTCCCCATAAAACTGGGCAGGACACATCATTTTGTTTTTTTACGCGGAATTAAGCAAATTAGTTTATAACAACCCCGACTATTTATTCTACAATGTATCATTAAAAACACTCACTCTTACAGTGTAATTCACAATTGATAAAATATAAGCGCAAAAATGATCTAGTCTGTTACTACAACACATATTGCACCAAATATTCACATAATTTTTTATCTTTCTTGGTAATTATCCATATAATAGAACAAACGCTAAAAATTGGTATATATTCACGTAATAGAAATACTTTCATATTAAAAGTAACCCAATGGTTGTTAAGTCTGGACTATGAAACCACTGCAAAACCTTCTTATTTCATATACATAACTTTAATACTATAGATATTTAATACGATAGATCATACTAGATCATACATACATACACACTGACAGATACACACACACACACACACACACACACACACACACACACACACACACACACACACACACACACAGAGGGAGGGAGAGAGATAGAGAGAGAAAGTAAATAAAATATATTGTTATTATTAAGTATTCTCATCTGGTTGGGCTGAATATAAGAGGAAATGATGAATATCCATAAATATATAAAATATTCTAACATAAACAGATAAAAGCCCAAACAGAGGGAAGCCCTCGGCAGGAGAGACCAAACGGCCGAGGTTTAGGAGGAAAGATAAAGAAACAAGCGGACGATGCAGGTGGTATCAAGGAGCACCGCCTTCTGCATTTGAGCCTGGAGCGGTCCGTCACGGAGTCCCAGTCGCCTCAGATGACCTTAGAGCCTGACCGGGATTGGCCCGTTCGCAGAAATGACCACAGGAATAATTTCGGTCACCTCGTGAGCCAGGTCCAGATATTTTGTCAGCTTATCTGTTTCGGCTTTCACGAGATTCTCATCATAAGGAATGGTAATGTCGACCAAAAATATCCTTGACTATGCCCGGTCCATTAGCACAATATCTGGCCTATTCGCAAGAATAGTCCTGTCTGTAATGATGGCTCGGTTCCAGTAGAGCCTGGCGCGGTCATTTTCGACAAGACACGGCTTCCGGCAAGTACTTATAATATAGCAGTTTCCAATCCACGAGACCGTATTTCAGAGCAAGCTCCTGGTGTAGAATCCATGCTACTACGTTGTATCTGTGCAAATACTCGGAGTTAGAAAGCGCTGAACAACCGGAGATGACATTACTAAGTGACTCGCCGGGATGGCGACCAGCTCGACGGATGTCGACGGCGCCATCCTTTAGAATGTATTTCCGATAATTGTTGGTCTTAATAACCTGATCCTGTATCGAACAGACAAAACCCTCGGTTTCCCCAAAGAGGTCACCGAAACGTAGTTAGTGGAGAGAGGTAACTATGTCTACGAAAGGCTCATGTAGAACCTTGTAGAACCTCCCGTGGAGCTCCTTCTCCTTCCATACGGTCTCCCGGTCGGAAATGCACTGTACTGCTGGGTCTTGCCATTGCTCGTTGGTTAAGGATAGAGGAATAAGCCCTTTTTTACACGAAATGACGCCCCTGTAGAATGGATCATCCGATCTCGTCTGAAAGTAATTACGGAGGCTGCACACTTCGCGATTATGCATAGTGAGAGCGCTCAAAAAGCCATGCCCACCATGTTTCTGCGACGAGTACAGCCTCATTACTGACGATCTCGGATGATGCATCCTGTGGGACGTCACAACAGTGCGGAATTTTTTATCCAGAGCGTTCAGTTTATTCTGAGTTCACCTGAGTACGCCGAAGATATATATGAGGACAGGCATGACCCAACCGTTATATGCGTGTGTTTTATTCCCGCGCGACAAAAGAATGTTGAGCACTTTTGTCAAGCGTGCATAAAACACATCGCAAACTGACTGTTTTATGTCCGTCTCATCGATACCTATGTTCTGAGACATACCCAGGTATCGGTATGTTTCAGCCTCGCATAGGGTCTTTATGTTGATGGGTATAGATAAGTCTATACCCTCAGAGTTAGCAACCCTACCCCTTTCGACATGGAGGACCGCACACTTATCCGTCCTCAGCTCCATTCTAATGGAATTGCTAAAACCACAAGTAATGTTTAGCATAAGATGGGAGCGACTGGAGGCGAATAACTTGAAATCATCCATATAGAAAAGGTGGGTCACTTTTGTACCTCCTTTCCGAAGCTAAAATCCCCTCCCGGAACCCTTCAGTAAGGTACTGAGAGGGTTCAGAGAGAGGCAGAACCAGTTTGGACTCAGACAATCGCCCTGGAAATTACCCCTTCTTATCCTTATGTGATCCTCCGCAGCGGTAATCGGCTCGCCTAGATGACAGAGGATCGTAGTTCACTGCCCCATACACGGTCCGAGGAAGTCTCTAACTGTACAGTCAACCTTTTACAGCTCGACGACCCTCTTCAGGCATGTATGAGGCACTGAGACGGAATTTTGTAATCTATCCAGACGGGCGAAAGGTTCCGATACGCTACGAACCTTTCAGCCAGTAGTGATGAGTCCCGGACTTTTCCAGTTCGGGGCGCTACGGACCGCCACATTACGTCATCCGGCGTTATGATGACGTGGTCCATGGGCGTAACACTCCCAAAGTGACTCGCCAAGGGCCCTTTCTGTGATTTACGGGCTATGACCACAGGCCACCCCAGAATGCGACATTGTCGGCCTGATTCGGTGCTAGGCTCGTTCTACGTACAATATTGGTCGCTCCAATGATTCATAGAGCCTCTTCTGATCACTCTGGAAGAGACAATATTGGTTGAACCGTGTCGACCTCTCGGTATATCGCCGAATCCGCTTGCCCCAAGCAGCGATTTTGTGCTTCAGGTCGTCAATGCGCTCCGTCAGTTTTTGCGTTATATCCGGCTGTTATTACTATATTTTGTACCAAGGCACTGCTTTTTCCATATTGAAATTTCTTCCAGCAAGCCCCATACTGAATTTATTCAAAGAAAAGCAGATTTAGTTTTCACTCCCTTGGTAATTTTTATAAAATACAAAATATAAAAATAATAAATACTGTTACGTATATACGTCTTGCACATTTATAATATTAGTAAGTAATATTAGAGTGACAAACTAGCTAAAAGGCATCCTAACGGTAATCGGGAACTGCGCTCATGAAAATGCCACCAACATAAAACGAAAAAAGGTCCAGATCCGTTGTCACATTTGAGCGCTGAGATAATATTGCTTTGCAACAGCAGCGAAAGCGATTAGATTATATATAATCGCGATATTTTGCGACCCTTCGGGTCGGATTTTGTCCAAGTACTGGAACACCCCTAAAGTTTAATATAATAAAATTAAATAATAAACAATATAATAAGTATGATGTAAAATAACTATGTAATAAAAAAGGAATCATCAAAATCGGTTCACAATTGTCGAATATATCGTTTAACATACGAAAGGTATATTTTATTTTATTACAAAAGTATTATTAAAATAACAAATATATTAATTTAAAATAAAAACAATAGGTAATTACAAACTAGCGAGACAATTAAAATTAATGTTGTGTGAATGATCACGTATAAATATGTCATAGATTATAATAACGTATGTTTTAAAGGTGTATCCAAAGAGTATGTAATCACTACTGGGTGTGTGGCGTATCTTTAAAACTTGAAAACTGGCATGCAAGGCACGTAATATTATGTACTCAGTTGTTTCTAGACACTTTTGCACACGAACACTTTCAATAGAAACTTCATGGTTATTAACAGTAACGTCATAATTTTTTATAGTCAAATTAACAGCCTATTTGTGTAAATTAATTAAGGAAACTGAACAAATTTTTAACATTTTTCATTCTCATCATCATTACAGCCTCTCAAAATTCCATCGCTGAACATGGGCCTCCCTGATAGTATTTATTTTGATTGCCTCTTACAAGTAATATTCGCTATAATTGCCACTAGTTTTTTTATTATTTTCAGTTGTTTATTAGGAAGTTGGTCAGAGGTTGCTGTCCATCTCAGGAGTTTAATTTCCCCCTGTGGTCTGTAACAACAACCACGGGATGATCTTATGAAGTAATAAATATTCTAACACCATTATTTCATGTCTAATAGGACACATTATTATAAATAGCAAACTCAAAATATATTACTTATTTTAATAAGTACTTTATTAAGGTCGGTTAATTTATCTTCGCCGATTGGAAACCGATTTAATGTCTTTCTTTTTTATTTTAAATAAGCATTAGTTCGAGGGTAGTGTGATGGAGGTGCTGATAATGATAGTGGTAGTGGTGGTGGAAGTGGTGGATAGGTGGTGGTGGTTATGGTTGTGGTGGTGGTAGTAGTAGGGATGGTGGTGGTGGTAGTGGTGGTGGAAAATAGGGAATGATTTTTTAATGTAACAATAATATAGACGGTGTTCTAGTTTTGACCTTGCATTCTAACTATACCTTGAACTTGTTATTGTAACAGGAGTTTTTCGATGACACACATGATGTTAACTAAATAATATAAACCATCTAAAAACCTTCGAGAACCATCTAATACTTTAGAGATATTTAATCAATTATTTAAATTTAAAAGTGAAAACTAAATATGTTTTAAATTCAGTATTAGTAATTCTTTTTTTTTTGTTAAAAAAGTTACCCCCATACTAGGATTTTCTCCTGTATCGTGGAAGCTGTTAACAAATATAAATTGCACAAGGACAAACATCTATACCCGGAACAATTTGAATTTTGACGGCTCCGTGGCGCAGTGGCTTAGCAATGAGTTGTTGCGTTGGGGGGCGCGGGTTCGATCCCGCACGTAACAAGTATTTGTATGGCCTACAAATGATTGTTCCGGGTCTGGATGTTTGTCCTTTTGTAATTTGTGTTTGTAAACTGCCTCCACGATACAGGAGAAAATCCTAGTGTGGGTGTAACGTTTTTTTTTAAAAAGAGAAAAAAAAATTAATTGCAGGCCATACAAATACTTGTTACGTGCGGGATTCGAACCCGCGGCCGCAGCGTTGCAACTAACTATAACTAAATTACTAAGCCTGATAATAAAAACTTTATTGTTCAATATGAGAAAGGTTAATTTGCAACATCGAGGAAAATTAAGATTATAACAACATGAACGTCTTTGAAACTCAGATAATTTACCAACTTAGCATTTTAACCGACTTCAATAAAAGAAGGAGGTACTCAATTTGACTCTTTTTTAATGTGTGTTACATCAGAACTTTTTTCTAGGTGAATCAGTTTTGATGATTCTATTTTTATTTGAAATCTGGTGCTTATAATTTATACAGCCCATATACATTTGATTAAGATCTGACTAGTAGTTTTGGAGTTATCCTTAATAATGCGTATTAGTATTGAAGTCGGGTGTACAAAATTTTTAATTTCATTAGTTGTCTCTTCTTCTTCTTTTTTAAAAAAAACGTTACCTCCACACTAGGATTTTCTCCTGTATCGCAGGGACAGTTTACGTACATAGAACAGATCCAGAACAATTATTTGTAGGCCATACAAATACTTGTTCTGTCCGGGAGTCGAACCCGCGGCCCTTAGTGCAGCAACTCATTACTTAGCCACCGCGCCACGAAGCCGTCACTTGTTTGTTTCAAATTTTTTGCTATTTACAAATGCGACACGCAACTTTATTATTAATGAAAGAGTGGCAATGAGAAGTGCTGCTACTTTCAATCTCTTTCTTTATCGACCATATATTAAACAAATAACCAGTATATGCTGATCTCACATTAGTAGGCAGCCACTAGTACTAGGAGGTCTACTTACACTGAAGGAATTTTTGGATCATTGTCATAATACGCGAAAAAATCGAAAATTGCGAAGCTGTGATCAGGTAACTAATCAAATAATAAATCTGTAACTATGGCGTCAGTACCTAAGTACCTAATTATCTAGTTCTACCTATAAATAATAATATATTACCTTTCGGTATCCTTAGGAACAGGAAAGAATGAAGAGTCGACATTCCTATTGTTATTTAAGCACCCGTATGCTATTGGCTTTTTGAGAGGCCATACTTGAATAAAAACTCAAAAATAAATATCAAAAGTGCCTTAATACTTATTTGAGAAAAATATTTTTTATGTTAACGTAAGGCGCGCGTCAGCGTCAGCTAGAGCGGGCACGTGACAACCTCACGGGATTAGTCCCATACGGGGCCGCGCAGCGTAGGTATATTTTCATGCCTAAAGCGTGAAGTGAGACAGGCCTGCTATAAGTTGCAGGATTGGATCTACAAAATCAGCCTATGTGTTACTAAATAGAGATGATATCTGCGCTAACATACGAGTACCAAAAACAGCTCTTTAATCTATTCATTATAATTCAATGTATATAATATAACAAATTCACAAACAATTAAATTAAAAGAAAGGCAAAAACCACTTCAAAAAAAATCTCGGAATGATAAAATAATTTTCACGTAATTTAAGACTTGGTAAACTTAACTTGGTGTGGTTTTAATTTTTTTTTTTATATATAGTCATAGATAATAAATTATGTAGAAATTGTTTTACTCTTTTTAGGTTTTGTAAGTCAGTTTTTACCTTTAAAAGGTTTTTTTTTCAATCTATTTCATATCAGCCAGTACGGTAGAACATGCGGAAGCGTATTATGGCTGCAGTACAGTACAAATGTTCGATCGAGGAAAGACCTTGCTCGCACAGAATACCAATGCGTAATAGCAGCAAATAATGCTGTATTTCCCAGTGACAATAACGGGAAGTCTCTTTTATTGCAAACGAGAATCTATCTCAGTCCGCAAGGGCATCTAAACATTTTAATCCTTTAACGACGATTAATGTAGGAGGTGCCTTTGGTTCCCGACTTGTTGTGTAGTAGTAACGTAATAGAATTACTAAACCCATATCATCCCATGGGGTCGTAAGAGACGACAGAAGGAAACAAAGCCGGGGGTGGGCAGCGGCATATTCCTGATAACGATAATAATTTCATATATTTACCTGAATACGTCATATATTTTTTTTATTGAATTTAACTAATTTTATGAATTTTATCACGTTTAATTTTACCTTTTTGCGTTCTACAACCCACCTGCCAAGCAACAATGGCAACAATGACAAATTACTCCTATCTATGGCACTTCTTCAGCAGGGGACATTTAATAAGCTGTAATTAATAAATGAATACACGACTTTTGCACGTCTTACGTCGTTATGACTTTTATTATGAAGAAAGAAAAAAGTAAGTATGGCGGCAAATTTTTTCCAAAATCGGGAGTGGCTCTTAAACTATATATCAGAGGATTAGCTTAAGTCAGTAAACTTGCTGCATTATCAGCCATATGTCAGTATATTGAACCGGCAACCAATGTTAACATAATTATTGTTATTTATAAAAATACAAAACAATTATTAATATACAAGAAAAAACTAATTTTATACGAAATATCATGACATAGATACCAAATGGTAGAGCTTCATGCCAATACATCCGTCCTGATTCTGTATATGTTTGTTGTATTTCGATTGAAAGTGTGAGGGAGCCAGTATAAAAACTCCATTTTTGTCCTTCAAGATCACACACCATTTATGGCCTTTTTCCTTACAGTGTAGTGGCGGTGTAAAAATATACACTACCCCATATCATCCCGTGGGTGTCGTAAGAGGTGACAGAGGGAAACAAATCAGGATATGGGAAGCAGCGTCTTCCTAATCATCATCATAGCATAGCTGAACATAGGCCTCCCCCAAGGTATGCCACAAAACACGGTCCTGAGACACCTGCATCCATCGACTTCCTGAATGTCTTACCAGGTCGTCACTCCATCTAGTGGGGGGTCACCTTACACTTCGCCTACCGTTACGAGGCTGCCACTCGAGAACCTTCCTTCGGCATCGGTTGTCGCTTCCTCGAGCTATATGGCTGGCCCATTGCCACTTCAGCTACTAATCCGTCTTCATAATAAAGACTAAAAATAAAAAAACTGCGGTTGCCAATCCGCTTGCCAAGCGTGGCAACTGTGGCAAATATTCCTCTTATGAGACAATGTATGGAGGAGACCTTTATTGAGCAGTGGTAGCCTGTAACGATAACATAAGATGCAGTTACCACTTACGATCAAATGACACTCATTCACTGACATCTCGTTAGTCACACTATAAATATTTAAAAATATAAAAATGTATTCACCTGCGTTTACTCCGTATATTATGCAATAACTAAACAATAAAAAAGACCTAACCATCTTGATAAACTAAGCGCGTCTGCCAACGAATAAACTCGTTCGCGCAGTTATATACTCGTAGCTATCTAACAACACCTATTAAATGCTTATAAATTATATAAATTTCACAATGTAATCTCAAGGTCACGTGTTAAAATTTAAGTGATGGAGCTAGGCTTCAAATTTACTGCTGCTCAACCGGGGATGGACTTAGCTCGTACATAATAGCAGTGTTAACAATGTCCCTGTCCGCGAAAAAGACGCAATAGTGAAACAATCGAAATGTTCATATTACATGACTCACGGAACAGTAAAATCTTCTTTTCTATACATACATATTATATATATATAAAAGGCAAACCTGACTGACTCATCTATCATTGCACAGCCGAAACTACTGAACGAATTTCGCTAAAATTTGGCATACAGACAGTTGTAATGGCCTAGGCATCCGCTAAGAAAGGTTTTTGAAAATTTGCTCCCTAAGGGGGTGAAAAAGGGGTTAAAAGTTTGTATGGAAGTCCGTCACTTTTAGAGCTAGAATCCTGAAACTTTGTTTTTAGGTTAACGATTAGAAATAAACAATTACGTGTCCTAGGGTTTTTGAAAATTCAACCCCTAATGGGGTTAAAAAGGGGTTGAAAGTTTGTATGGGGAAACAAGATTAGTTAACTATTTTATTCGAAACTTCACAGGAGTACTCCTATCAATAAATGAGTAAGTGTTTCAGGCTCTTTCAGAATTCAACCCCTAAAAAGTGGAAAAGAGGTGACAAATCCTGAAAATCAACATGGGTTTCTTTTATGGTTCATCGGGTCGCTAATTACGAAATCAAAAATTATTTCAAAATCCAACTTAGCAGACGGGAAATACCTACCATCATTCCCTGTGTGGTTGAAATATTAATATGGGTATCGTTTTATGGTTTTTTGAGACGTTAATTACGAAAATGGCATCGATTATGGTTTGAAACCAACATGGATGGAAGGATGGATGGATGTATGTTTGTATGTAAAAATCATCATGGGTTGGGTGACTTGGGTATCAATTTTAAGGTTTTTGGGTCGTAAATAACGTAAATGATATTGATAAATATTTAAACTTAATTTATTATAATAGAATAGAATATACATTTATTGCACAAAAACATAAAACGAAATAAACAAGAAGATTTGTACAAAAAAATTTTGCTATAAATGCGCAAAAGTGTGTTGACATATTTAAAATCGTTCCTGATTTTTAAAAGTTTTAATATAGTAAATTTAGAACAATCAAGTATATAAATGTACCTGTAATTACATAAATCCACCAGCATTGTTTACTAATAATTTGTTTTTCATTGCACAACTTAAAACTTATTTTGCCACTTCACTGTCACCTGACATTGACCTTTAAGTAACCTTTAATTGAATATTCAAAATGGATATGCTTAAGAAGTCAATTGAAGAGCTAACACTGAATTTCACTTCACGTATGGATGAGTTCCAGAGGGAGGTCAGAACATCCATCCCTGCAACGAGCCCTTCTTCCAATATTAATGCACAATTTAATGCATTTAGGGCATTCGTCCTGTCAGCACTTGAGAATCTGCAACTTCAGCTCCAGCTTCTCTCTAGGCAGCAAGATGAAATGGAGGTAAGGACCAGGAGGAAGATGTTGCTTGTCCATGGAATGCCAGAAGCTCAAGATCAGAACCTAGTGCATTGCGCAAGTAAGGTATTATCAGAGCGGCTGAACATCCCTGAATTAAGTGTGGACTCTATTACCAGATGCCATCGCTTAGGGCGCCCCCGTGGCGACAAGCCTCGTGTGTTGCTCGTGAAATTTCGAGATCAGGATCTCCGTGACAAAGTTTGGTTTTCCAAAACCAAGCTAAAGGGTAGCGGAGTTACTCTATCTGAGTTCATGACTAAGGGTCGTTATGAGGCGTTCGTTGCTGCTCGGAAGCGCTTTGGTGTATCCCAGTGTTGGACACGCGATGGATATGTTGTGGTGCTTGGGTCCGACGGCACGAAGCACCGGGTGTACACCGTGGCTGAGGTGATCGCCATTCCTGATGCAGCTGGTGGTGTCCCTACTACCACATCCTTGACTGCGGCGACGGCGGCGGCAGCATCTTCGGCTCCCAAGCCCTGTGTTACTACTGCTAGGGCTAGGAAGACGGCTAAAAAATGATGGTAGTGGCATGTTTTTCTTATGGTTTTGTTTTTACTAATTTACTCCAGCAGCTCAATTCATATATTTTTTGTAACTTTTAGGTAATCAGGTTTTAAATTATAATTCTTTGCCATTCATTTTTAAGACATAAGTTTTATAATAGGTTTCCACTGGTTTGATGATTGTTGCTCAAATTATTTTAATTATTTCACATAACTGGTAGATTAATTAATCATTATATTTTTTTGTTAATAATATTTACGTATAAATATCTTTATTTATACTAACAGTGACACTTGTTACCACTTGTTACCTGTTGTCAGATTTCTTTCTTATTTTTTATTTTTTATTTTATTTTATTACTTTGGCAAAGGCATCTTAATCCATACTGCCTAGTCTGACGCTTACAGTTTCAAAATGTCTTACAATTTATTGGCGTCAGACTGCAAGTTTTTGGTAATTTTTATATTAAACTGATTGTTTTATTTCTTTAAGTTGTTGTTTTGTCATATGCTTTCTCTTTCATGCTGCTGGTGGTTGTAATAGTATAGGTACCTTTCGATCTTTATTTATATATATATATTTTTTTTTTCTTTTTTCTTTAGTGTATATAAGAATTTATTTTATATTTTAATTTAATATTTATGACCTCCTCAAACATTTGTAACGATAGTGATTTGTTTCTATCGTTGTCTTCGGACGATGAGACACTTAGTGATGATAGTTATCACAGTACAACTGCTTCTCCTTCACTCAACATCACCTTAAATTCTTTTTTCTCAGACTGTGTGAATAACTTTAATGCTATTCATATTAACGCCCAAAGCATTCCGGCTCATTATCCTGACATGCTTGCGTCATTTGAATCCCAAAATATTCACGCCATTTTAGTTTCAGAATCTTGGCTAAAACCCTGTCTGCCTTCCACTTCTTATTCTTTGCCTGGGTTTCATCTAATTAGAAATGACCGCACTAATAGGGGTGGTGGGGGCGTGGCGATCTATCTAAGATCCTACCTTCCATATAAAATTGTTAGTTCGTCAAGTCAACCACCTCCTGTTGATTCTGCTGAGCATTTGCTGGTTGAGGTCTCCCTGTCTCAGAATAAAATCCTACTTGGAGTTTTCTACAGTCCCTCCCTTTCTATAAATTATTTTACTTCTTTCGAATCTCTTTTAGAATCACTAGTCCCTACGTATAGTCACACTATTTTGATGGGTGACTTTAACACCTGTTTGCTTAAAGGCGACAATCGATCTATAAAACTTGAAGCTATAATTGAAGCGTGTAATATGCAAATCCTACCCCTTTCTGCTACTCATAACTTTCCTAACAGTACTCCTTCCCTTCTTGACTTAATAATGGTGTCATCTTCCAATTTAGTTTTCAAGCACGGACAGTGTCCTGCGGATGCATTCTCTTATCACGATTTGATTTTTCTTTCGTATAAACTTCGCCCTCCTAAAATCAAACCTAAATTAGTTCTGCGACGTAATTTTGGAGGAATGGATATTGAACAACTTTGTGAAGATGCTTATAATATGGACTGGTCAGTGATCGAGAGAGCTCCATGCATTGACGATAAAGTGGAACTGTTCTGTTCTCTTCTCACTCAGCTTTATGACGTTCACGCGCCAATGCATTATGTGAGACTTAAACACCTACCTGCTCCATGGCTCTCTGATGACCTGAAGAAGCTTATTTTGCAGAAGAATGCGGCATTGTCAAAGCTTAAGAGGAATAAGACAGAGGAAAACGCAAGGAAATACGCCAAAATCAGGAATCGATGCAACACATTGTGTAGAGATGCGCAACGACGCCATATTCATACATCAGTCGAGAACGGCGACTCATCTAGGGTGTGGAAGTTTCTCAAAACAGTTGGAGTTGGTAGAACATCCCTAAATGCCTCACCTCCTAGTGTTGATTTTGAACTATTAAATCAACATTTTTCTAATCCTTCTAACTCTTTTGATAGCGAACATAAACTGCAAACACTTCGTTCGCTTTCTGTAACTCCGACTCCTAATTATCCTCCGTTCGTTTTTAGTCAGTTTACTGAATGTGATGTTAAGAAGACCATATTATCCATCTCCTCAAATGCTGTCGGTAGCGACAACATTAGCCGTAATATGATTGTTCCTCTCCTTGATGTTATTACTCCCATTATCACTCATTTACTCAATGCTTGTGTCTCTTCCTCTAAATTCCCTCAAGCCTGGAAGAGTGCTCATATTATACCCCTTCCAAAGAAATCTAATCCCGTTAACCTCTCTGATTTCCGTCCCATCTCGATCTTACCTTTCCTTTCTAAAGTCCTTGAAAAACTTATTTGCCAACAGCTGACCCTTTTCCTTAATAAGCACAATTTATTGAATTCCTTACAATCCGGTTTCCGTCCAGGTCATAGTACGGCTACTGCCTTAATCAAAGTTACTGATGACATACGGTGGGGTATGGATAATAAACAACTCACAGTCATGACCTTGCTGGATTTCAGTAATGCGTTCAATACTGTTGACTTCGATATACTGTTGAGTCTGTTATGTTCCCTTAACATATCTCCATCAGTAATTGACTGGTTTCAAAGTTATCTCTGTGGCCGTCGGCAGTGTATTCGTGTCGATGAAACTCACTCATCTTGGTGTGATATAACTGCAGGCGTGCCGCAGGGCGGCGTGTTGTCACCTTTACTCTTTTCCATTTTCATTAATTCAATCACTCATAAAATATCTTCTCTCTACCACATGTATGCGGATGATGTCCAGATTTATACCCAGTCAACTCTTGAGAATTTGCCGAGTGCAATCGCTACATTAAATAGGGATCTAAATTTTATACACGAGTGGAGTAAATCATATGGCCTAAATGTCAATCCTAAAAAGTCTCAGGCTATCATTATTGGTAGCCAGAGCTTTATCTCAAGAGTTGACTGGTTCTCTGTACCACCTATCGTATTCGATGGAGTTGTTATCCCTTACTTTGACAATGTCAAAAATCTTGGTATTTATATTGATAATTCCTTAAATTGGATACGCCAACTGAATGAGGTAAGTAAGAAAACTTTTGTCGCTCTTTGTTCGCTGCGTCGCCTTCGATCTTTTCTTCCCATTCCTACAAAAATTATGCTCGCACAGTCTCTTCTCCTTCCGATTCTCGACTATGCTGACGCAAGCTATCTAGACATAACTGAGGACCAGCTAAATAAGCTTGAGAGACTTCAAAATACTAGTATTCGGTTCATATTTGGATTGCGCAAATTTGACCGTATTTCCCAATTTCGCTCACGTCTCAAGTGGTTACCTATCCGACTTCGCCGGAACATGCATATACTTTCTATTCTGTACTGTGTATTATTTCACCCTTCTACTCCTCCCTATCTAAAGGAGAAGTTTAATTTTGTGGGGCTTCCAGGGGAACCCTTACGCTCTTCGAGAAAATTCATTTTAAGTGTGCCAACTCACAATACATCATTTTTCAATAAATCTTTTACTGTCCAGTCTATTAAGCTCTGGAATGCCCTACCTTTGCATATACGTGAGGCACAAACTATTGTTATCTTTAAGCGATTACTTAAAGAGCATTACTTGTCTCAATCGTTCGGACACCGTTAGGATAGATTGTGTGATTATGTATTTATTGTATCTATCAGCTTTATATTATTGTTTGAGGAATTTTATATATATATATATATTGATATATATATGTGTTGTGTGTATATTTATGTATATATGTTTATATATATGTGTATATGTATGTATATGTATATATGTGTATGTATGTATGTATATGTGTATATGTGCATGTATATGTATATATTATATGTGTTACCTTATATTTTATTATGTGTTAGTAATTTATATTATTTCATGTATTACTTAGTTATTTATATTTTTTTTTTTGCATTTATTATTTGTATATTTATATTGCACCACCTACCACCTACCTATTCATTGTTTGTATTACTTTACACCTTTGGTTGCCTGGAAGAGATCGCTATGTAGCGATAAGGCCGCCAAATTGTACATATTATAATCAGATTTTTGTTATGACATTTGTATATTTGTTCGTGGTGTACAATAAAAGTATATTCATTCATTCATTCATTCATTCATTCATTCATTCATTCAATTATATAATACTATAATACAACAATTTGATCGAAGGGACATCATCCTCGAGAGTCGAAGTAATTCACTTCAGCGTATTAGTGAGATACTTCGAGCATATGGTGCAGTATCCATTGATGTTTTGCTGGGGGGGATGATGGGTATTCAATCAACATACACAACTAAGTTGCCGCTTAATAAAACTGTCTCTTCTGCAAGGTTCTATTCGTATATAATAATAATTAAAAAAGGAGAAGATAACTGTTAAGTCAACTATCGTGTCATTTTTAGTCAATATTTGTTGGATGAATACGCCAAAATAGAAACATAGAGATTAAATTATATCAAAAATAATCAAGCCAAATTACGTGCTGATACTTACATCCAGTTAAAAGATGCTATTGGACGACAAGACGCAGAAGCCAACCAACTAGGACAAATGGTTGGCCTTTCATCATCTTTTACGGGAGGACCTAGGTATATGCACGAAAGAACACAGGACGCTATGAACTATGTTAGGAATTACGGCCGGTCTGATCTTTTTATCACTCTCACATGCAATCCTCGTTGGGACGAGATAAAAGAGCAATTGCTTCAAGGACAACAATCTCATGATAAACACGATATAATTTCGAGGATGTTTCGACTAGAGGTGAAAAAAATCATGACTTATTGACAAAGGGCAAAATATTTGGTGAAGTGCGATGCTATATGTATCTCTATTTTGCCATTCTTTTGTACTCAAAGTAATGGCAAAAGAGAGGTCTTCCACATATTCATATTCTATTATGGCTTCACAAACATATTACTCCGGATCAAACCGACAATATAATTTGGGCTGAAATAACGGATCCCAAACGTGACACAGAGCTACACGAAATCGTTAAATATAATATAATACAGTTTACAATCAAATTAACACAAAAATTTAATCAAATGAGGGCAGAATATGTTTTTAGATGCTCCCGATGGTACAGACAAAACATTCCTCACAAATTTGCTATTAGCAAAAGTCAGAAGTACTCGCGGAATTGCTTTGGCTGTAACTTCTTCTGGAAAGGCAACTACACTGCTTGAGGGTGGACGAACTGCTCATGCTACGTTCAAGTTACCACTCAATTTAACAACAGCTGATACTCCTTATTGTAATATATCGAAACAAAGTAATTTTGCTGAAGTATTAAAACATACGAAATTGATAGTGTGGGATGAAATAACCATGGCTCATAAGGGTGGCGAGGTGAGGCTTTAAACAGAACTCTACAAGATATAAGAGGAAATAAGAAGTTAATGGGTGGTGTAACGGTTTTGTTGACTGCAGGTTTTAGACAGACTCTACCAGTAGTGCCAAAAAGAACTAAAGCAGATGAATTTAAGGCGTGTCTTAAGAGATCCACTTTATCTCCTACTTGAAATCGGCAACGGTGATACCCGATAAATGACGGAATGATAACCATCCCTGATAATTTGTGCACAGTTGTATTTACGTTACAGGAGTTAATATCCAAAATTTACCCAGATATTGCTCATATCCACGATAAGCCAATAGAATGATTGTGTGAACGTGCCATAATAACCCCGACAAACGACCAAGAAGCGGCAATTAACGATATACTGTTAACATCTTTTGAGGGGGAAGAAATGATGTACATGTCAATAGGCTCTGTGGTCAACACAGATGATGTAATTAACTACCCTGTTGAATTTCTTAATTCACTGAAACCATCGGTTCTTCCACATCATAACTTTATTCTGCGCGTGCAGGAGTGCCCCCTGTTATGTTATTGCGAAATTTAAAACCTCCTCAACTGTGCAATGGAACCAGACTAAAAGTAAAAGTGTTACATCGCAATGTAGTCGAAGCCACAGTTATAACTGGATGTGCGCAAGGGGAAACTGTATTTGTACCAAGAATTCCCTCGATCCCGAATGATCTTCCCTTTGAATTCAAACGAATACAGTTTCCCCTCAAAGTGTGCTTTGCAATGACCATAAACAAATCACAAGGTCAGACATTAAAATTTGCGGGTATAGACTTGAGAGAAAATTGTTTTTCACACGGGCAATTCTATGTAGCTTGCTCACGCGTAAGCCCACCCAGTAGTCTGATAATTTTAGCACACAGTAATAGATTAGCAAAATAATGTGGTGTATAAAGAAGTTTAGTAGTTTACTAGCCCGTGACGCGACATCCAGTTATAATTGTGGCTTTTACCAGGAGACTCTTTTTCACACATGGGCGCGATGTAACCGAACTCCACGCGGACGAAGTCGCGGGCAAAAGCTAGTGATTAAATAAAACAAGCAAGGCAAATATTAAATTGGTAAATAAAAAATGGCTTTCAATAAGTATTATGTAATAAACTAAACTTATTGAATAAAAATAATTCTATTCTATTTTATTGTATTCGAATAGAATAGAAAATAATATTCTATACTAGAGATATCAATGAACGCGCTCTTAGAACGCGCTGCCCCAATGCGTGTTGGCGCATTGGGGCAGCGCGTTCTAAGAGCGTAATCTGATCCTTTCAAACAGACCCTTTTATGCTGCAGTCATAATACAACGTAGCGTAGCTCTACCTACTAAAAGGATAGGTAGGCGTGTTGCTGATCATTAAACAAATTCACACTGAAGGCATAAATTGCGCCTAGGAAATTATGAATAGTTATTCCACAGAACCGTGGTAGCAGGAGCGTGGCAAAACCTAAATTTGGCGTGAGCAAGATGAATTTTGCGAGGCCCCTGGCGACGAATAAATATTTTTAATAATTGTATTCGGATGTCCATTACGACCCAGCACTAGTGTACTGCTGAACATAGGCCACCGCCAACGACTGTCACGGCCATGAAACACCTAAATTCAGCAATATCCTGCATGTTTTACCTAGTTGTTCAGCCTTCATTTAGTGGGGGGGTCACCTCGCTCCGCTTACCAGGAAGCTGCCAATCGAAAAATGTCTCGCTGAGTTTCTCGGTTGTTCTTCCCAGGACAGAGGCTTTTCCGAACCAGTAGTAAATTAAAGTAATGATTGACTTTCATTAAGTATTATTTATAATCTATATTGAATAAAAAAGTTTCTATTTCTGTTTCAGAACTATAAAGAGTTATAACTAAGATATCATAAGATACGGGATGCATCGTAAAAAAAAGTAAAGATGCAACTTATATACAATGTCCTCCTGGGCAGAGGCTTCCTTAACTTACTGAGAAAGTTTAAGAATAAAGAAGGTCAGAGTTCACAAGTCTTCGAAATATTTTTTTATAAATTTTTAGGACATGCAGATATCCTCACGGCGTTTCCATTGACTACCGAGCATGTGGTAAATAATCACTTGAAATTATTACACTGGTACCGGTGACAATCGAACCCGGCCATAGCGGTACCTCGACATACAATGAAATTTATAGCGGGCGCTTAGCTACCACGGCTCACTGCTTCATAAAAACATATGTATACATTCCCGTCAAATTTTTTTTATGGCACGAGGGCGTCCAACGAGCAGACAGTTTACCTGATGGTAAGTGGATGCTGTGGCCTGTAGACATCGAAATTTATCCTCAATTAAGAATCAAATTGCAGATGCGTTGTCACCCCTGAGAAATGAGATGGAATGCCTCGTTTCCAGTATAAAGGGTCTCCGTTTCTCTACACTAACCATATGAAACACCCACTTACTCACTATTCCGTGAGAGCGTGGTCCTAACCCCGGTCGGGCCGACCCATTCGTTCTACAACCATGATATAGCTGCACTGTGGCTCTACCACGTAGATTATAATATAATTATATAGGAGTATACCAATAAATGACGCTTTGAAAGGTTCGAAATTTCTACAATTGTATTAATACTTGAATTGAAAACTTTGTCCCCGTTTTAAAGCATATTGCGCGCTCGTAAGAGTGTCTTTAAAAATATTTTTTTAGAATTACCTACTTATGTCAATATCAAGTTACATATTGTATTCTTGTTTATGTACACAGGTCAATCTCGAGACACGCTTTCATATCATATAAATTGTGTTGCATGTGCCACTTGCAACTACTGCCTAACGCTTAGGAAATTTGTTGTTATTCAATAAGAATGCTGCAATGTCCATTGCCGGGTTATCCTATCTACCGCCTTTAACCCCAGCATGTGGACTCGTGTGTTAAACGGGGTTCCCAAGTTCTTAAGACACGCAGCTGAATGCAGCGCTATATCTCGCTTCATCACCTCGCGCCGTGGTGTAATTTAGAAATTGAATAATACAAGAAATCAGCAAGTGTATAGACATTTGCAATAACACAATATTTCATGAAAATCAGTGGAAGTTATTTATTTATTTATTTATACTCCTTATTGCACACAAAATACTACACAACACGTCAAACTTAAATTTATAAATATATATGTAAAATTAGGTGGCCTTATCGCTAAACAGCGAACTCTTCCAGAAAAATCTTGATGAAGGAGATAATTTTCATTTAAATATATAGAAGTGTGCATAAATAGTAGATAAACAAGTATATATTAATAGTACAATGTATATATAGTATATAAGACATTGAAATAATCAAATACATTATTTATAATATACATATACACATAAACACACAAAAACATATATACTACATACACACATACACATATACTTTTTTTTTTTTTTTTTTTATTCTTTTTTATTTAAGGGACTTTCGTTATTATTAACATGTCAGTCCCATTGTACCTTATAACTAAATAGCACAAAAATATTTAATTACTTATACATTACTTAATAAATGATAAACCATTTGGGCAGCATCTGACAGTGGTTCAGAGAGTATACTTTGATATTCCCCTATGTTGTACATTTTAATGTCAGTTTTGGCGACCAGTAGTTTCCTTTCGTGATGGTTTTTAGAACATTCCGCGAGTAGGTGTTGTATGTCTTCGATTGTGTTGCATGTTTCGCAATTTGGAGATTGTTTTTTTTTCATCATGAAAGCAAACTTGTTGCACGGAATGTGTCCGGAGCGAAGTCGCATTGCTAATACAACAGATTTTCTGTTCAATAGACATTGATTGAACCAAGGCACTTTCGGAGGCTGACTCTGGATAGTTTTGTACCAAATCCCTTTTTCTTGCGACCTTTTGTCAAAATATTCTTTCCAAAGTGCATAACATTTCTCTTTGTATTTAATTAAAATTTCTGTATAGTCTGGATCAATATTACATTCTCTTCCTTGTGTAATTGCCAATTTAGCCAGTTTGTCAGCCTCCTCATTGCCTTGTAAACCGATGTGTGATGGTACCCACTGCAATACTAAATTACGGTTTTTACATTGAAGTTTAAATATTTCATTTAATATATGGTATGCTATCGATACACCTCTGAGACCAGAGGCGCATCGAGCAATATGTTGAAGAGCACTCTTGCTATCAGTTAATATGACTGTTTTTTGAAAATCTGTTGTACCATCATATACTAGGGCATCATTTATAGCAATTAATTCAGCTGACATTATTGTCAAATTATTAGGGATTTTAATCTTACATTTATTACCCAGTAGTGAATCTACATAAGCGGCACCTACCCCACATTTATCCTTAGATCCATCACAAAAAAGCTTGTGCCATCCAAAATATTTAACATTCAATTCATTGATCACATTCGACTTTAAAGAATTTATCTCCTGACATCTTTTAGCACTCTTGATACAATCTAAGTCTTCCTTAATTACGGTTTTAATATTAATACTTGATACCCAAGTATTTAAAGAGAACATATCTAGTGGATCCGAAGAATACAAATTACTATTATTAACTTGTTCTAATGTCATAGCTAGAAGCGGTTTCTTTTTATTTTGCCAGTACCTATCTTTACAGAATAAGCTGAGTTCTGTTAGTAGCTTAATAGTTGTATTATTAGATCTAGATTTACTTTTCAGACAATATTTATATGCTAGAAATTTTCTTCTTAAAAACAGGGGCGTTATATTTAATTCACTTTCCATAACGTGTATTGGCGTGGTTTTGATAAACCCCCCTATAATACGTAGTGCTTGATTTTGGATTTTATCTAATTTGCAAACGTGTCTATTAGCACTCATATCATATAAAAAGCAGCCGAAATCCATTCTGCTTCTTATAAGCGATAGGTATAACCTACGTAAATGCTGCGGATGTATGCCCCAACCATGCCCTGTTAATACCTTTAATATGTTTACAAATTTTGTTATCTTCTGGCTAATTTCATTAATATGTTTAGCCCATCTTAATGATCTGTCCAGCCACATACCCAAATATTGTATATTATCTGTCCCAAGTATACTTTTGCCGTATAGTTCTAATTTAATTTCCTGACGTCTAAAACCTCTACTAAAAATCATAAGCTTAGTCTTGTCGATAGAAATATCTAAGCCTATTTTATTAAGTGAATTTACTATAGAGTTTAAAGCATTCTGAATGTTGTACTCACAATCCTTAAGATTTTTTGAGCTCGAATAGATTACAAAATCATCTGCATATTGAGCGATAGACACATTTTGTATTTGACTACATATATCATGAGTAATAATGTTAAATAGCAAAGGAGACAAAGGGTCACCCTGCGCTAAACCCTTATTGGCCCATCTTTTTAATCCCTCCTTACGCGGTTCCCTTTCTATAACAAGACGTCTTTCACTAAAACATGACCAAATGTATTTGCATAATTTTGAACCAACTTGAAGTCTGTCAAGAACACTCACTAATATATCAATTGGGACATTATTATAAGCGTTCTCTATGTCAATAAAGCAGGCGACAGTGGGTATATTTTTTGAGAAGCCTAGCTGAATATGTGTTACTAAACATACTAAACAATCCAAGCACGATTGAGATCTGCGAAAACCACTGGTGTATGGGGATAGTATCTTGTTGTGCTCTATGTACCATTCTAATCTTTTAGTTATAAGATTGTGAAATATCTTACAAATACAAGACATTAGTGATATAGGCCTTAATTTGTCCTTATTACTTAATTTAGGTATAGGAATAATTTTAACATTTCGCCATTGCATGGGTATGTATCCCGTTGAAAAAATTACATTAAATATATATAATAAATACTGTTTGGCAATATCAGGTAGATTGTAAATCATAGAATAAGATATGTTACATATACATACATAGAATACATA